GTAAAAATTGGAGAATGGCCACATGGAGAAAAATGTGTTCGGAAATTTCAACTCAAATCAAGCTTTGAAAACCGGCCAAGAAAAAGTCATTTTTCCTCCCCGTTAAAAATACATTGAAAAGCCAAAACCGATTCCGGGCAACTCCTTAGGATGTATTCTTTCGGATTCTGTAAAAAAATTGCGCAAAAATATTTAAATTGATTGAAGAAATAACTTTCAAAAAGTTGCAAGTTTCAACGGTCTCATATGCTAATTTTAGACCAAATCAGGGTAAAACCAATTTTGCTCAAAAACTCAAATTTTTCAACGTAGATCAAAAAACCGATTCGACCACGTTAGTAGACTCACAGAAAGGTGTCCAGAAACTAAGTTTCAAGGAATTTGAATTTTTCACTGTGGCCGGCCTATGCTCGATATTTCTGGACAGTCGCTCTTAATCACTTTGTAAATCTACTACTGTTGGAGTAACCACATGCGCTCTTTGAGCGTCTTTAATTCATATGGTCAATGATTGGTTGTCTACTACAGATTATCCGGGCATCTAATTATTTCTAAAAAAGACTTAATAATAATGACAATATTTTAATACTCCAGTTTCAAATTCTCTTTTATGCAAGCTTAGCTTCAATCAAGCACAAATTGTTTATTGTCTTCTTTGTACACAGAGTTTTTGCATTACAATAGAATCTCTGCCGAATAAAAGAATATATATTACATGCTTTCGAGGTTGAGACTGCACAGATAAGATCTCGAAACTGGAGTATTCCAATGATCAATAAAAAATAGTTAAATATATCACATTCTGATGACCGTATGAAATATAGAAAAAAAGCAAAAAAAGAACAATAGATAGAAATTTATAATTTATATAATATCAGGCTATACCAAATAAGCCATTCTCAATTCCTAAGTCATTGTTCCTGATATTTAAAAATTGACGGCTTCTCCTTTCTTGATGGCTATGAACATCTAATGTAGTCGGCATTATGATAGAGCTGAACAATTCTAGTTATGTACTTCCGTTGCCCCCGAGAGCTTTATAGTAGGATTATAGACTACTGAACGTCTTGTACACTTCACCTACTTAGCTTGCAATGCATCGCGGGATCAGATTCTGGAGAAATTAATGTTTTTTGTCATTAAAAGCTTCGGAGATCTATATTGACGATTTCCTACTTATAACATGATTGAGGAGGATTTCAAGCAAAAACAATTCCAAACATTATTACTGAATTCCTAAGGGTATCTTAAACAATTGCTTTTCAATTCTATTCACGCTAAGTTAACGAATCTCAAGCACAACAGACAAAAGGGATTTTCATTGGTTAGATCCGATCGGTTAGCTAAGTACCACATCAGCATAAGATGTTGATAACTGTTGTTTACGTTTACATGTAACAAGATAAAGATGCCTAGATATCACGAGGCACGAGAAGGACACTCAGGTGTAATGTTTAGCACCAATTCCTTCAAAAGAGGTAAAGCTATGAGCCACATTATGTAACCCAGTTCAGAAGTTTTCAACTATTGATCCACTTTAATTAAAGGTAGTTACGCTCTTACTTGGACTGCTTCGGCGAAGATAACTGAATTTACCGCATAGCATTGGTTGCTGGAAGCTGGAGTCAAGTTCTTTATCGTCGATTGAATGTGAACTGTATTTTCAGACAAGCATCCAATCATCTTGTATAATTCGCGACGAAACTGTGACATGCGTATTGTGTAAACTAATAGATTTACAAAGGAGTTGATGCATATTACCATTTTCATTAAAAGGCCTATGTTGACGTCAATCACTATRCTTAGAATGGTATAAGATGGCACCCATGTAACAAGTGCCACCAAGGTTGTTATCATCAGTGTTTTGGATAATCGTAAGTTTTTCATCATGGCAACACTGGAAGTAATTTCAGGAAAAACAATTCTCTTGATTAAAATGGAAGTATATGAAATAATGATTATCAAAATTGATACCGTCGTTACCAACATCAGTTGAAGTTTCATGAAATTATTTATTTTTTCACTCGAACAAGTGTAAAGCCGTAGAAACGATATGAGAGATACAGCCCAAGAGAATGCTATTGCGCGAAAATAATGCTTGCTGGATATCCGTCGAAAACGGAATGGYGCAATGATTGCAAACGCCCTTTCAAAAGCCATCATTGCCAGAGATGTTAACGAAGCCATAACRGTAAACATGGTGAAAGTCATTGAGATCTTGTTCAGAAAAGTTCCCTGGCAGCTGGTGYTGAATAGGTTATTTTTGGCGTAGCGTATCTCCACCACTGTAACAGATGCACAAACACCAACGAGAACATCCGCAACTGTTAGRCTTACTAATAAGTAGCAGGATTTAGAAATGAGGAACTTCTTCTTCAAGAAAATGATAATAGCTGCAATATTAGCGATGATTATCAGAATCGATTCGATGCCATAAATTGCACACCAAACATCTTGCATTATGCTACTTAATCCGCTAGTCGAAACAGTTGTATTTCTATCCATCGGTTCGGTTATTGCCTTTTAACATGTATAGCWTGGCATTCAACAGAAAAATTATCAAACGTCAGGCYTAGTTCTAGTTAGAATCAAGATGTGTTTGGCGTATTGAGTCATCATGTGGCTTTATGGAATTCGGAGAAAACCACTTAAACAGCTTGAAACATCTTAAGTGCATTCTCGAGTTTAAATTGATTTTGGCTGTGTTTATCGAACAGCTTACGTTATTATGATCGTATCTTCCGATTTCAAATATAATAGGGAAATATTGACAATAACTCAACCGAATTATTGCTATTTTCTACTTGTGTAAAATATGGACATATAGAAAAACAATTGAGATGCTCTTAAGAATTCGGCTTTGCGGCGTTCTGATTATGATATTCTCGAGTAACTATTCATATGGATATAAGCACTAGTCAATTCTACGTAATTGTATGTCAAGACCTGTCAAGGCAATACAAAAACTGGATACTGGTCGGCTGTCCTTTGCAAGAAGATGATGTTTAAAATCTTTATAACTCCGTTTTCTATCCATCATGGAGATTTGACAAAAAGACAAAGACTTTGACAAGCATCACTCAAGGTTGTTATTCCGCAACGGAGAAGAAAATGCTCGAAACAGGAGATTGGAAAAGTTKCAGGCAAACATCAACAGCTGTCCAGAAAGTCTTGAGGGGTACATCGTGACAAAAGTCGCGAAACCGCTGCTTGCCGAAAAGATGTCAACAAAAATCCATTAATGCTTTGTCGTTKATAACTAATTGTAAACTAATGTAATTAAAGGCGCTCAAAGAGCGCATGTTGTTACTCCCAAAACCGATATTTTACATAAGTACTGAATTATCAATGATAATAAGCCCGTCCAGTATAGAGCAAAAAAATACACATTGTTGAAAAAGTGTTTTTGCACTTGTATCATAATGTACAAATTAAATATGAAGAACAACTCTTTTTATGGAAACTTGAACGCAATGGTTTAATAAGAGTGTTAGAGGTGCCTTAATATAATTTTTACAATTTTTTTTTTCTTTAATTAAATGCAGTACAGTACTTACCCACTTATAAGAACCTGCAATTTAAGAACCTGTTAGYCTAAAAATATCAAAATAGATCCATTTACATAAGAACCTATTTAGCCTAAAAAGCAGGTTCTTATAGAAAGAGGGTCTCAATGGGGTTAACCGTGAGCCGT